TAGGAGTTGGAATCAACGTTTTGATGAAACGATCAAAGGACTTGATTTTTCATAAAAAAAAAAAAAAAGATGAACCTTGTGTATAGAAAAAGGTTAGTGGAAGCTCGATTGTTTTTATCATGCTATATGTAGATGATATTTTACTTATTAGCAATAATACAACTACATTGCAATCTGTAAAAGATTGGCTATCTAAAAATTTCTCCACGAAAGACATAGGAGAGGCATCATACATTCTAAGAATCAAGATCTATAGAGATAGATCACGAAGAATGTTAGGTCTCTTCCAAAGTACACACATTGATAAAATACTAAAGAGGTTTAGTATAGAAGAATCCAAGAGAGGACTTATTCCAATGCACATAACATAAAACTATCTAAGGTCGAGTGTCCTAACACATAAAATAAAAAGGAAAGGTTGACTTGCATTCCTAATGCATCATCCATATAATCTATTATGTATGTCATGTTATATATGTTGTTTGTTGTCTCATATGCTTTGAGTATATGTAGTAAATATCAAGTGCAGTGCAGGTGAAAAATACTATATGGCTATGAAGAGCATTCTAAAGTACTTGTGAAGAACTAAGGATGCTTTTTTAGTCTATAAAGGAAATGAACTAGTGGTGAAAGGATTGATAGATGCTAGTTTTCAATTTGACCATGATGATTAAAGTTGAATGGCAGAGCTATTAGTTAGAAAAATTCCAAGTAAGAAATAGTGGTTGACTCGATAACCGAGACTAAATAAATTGCGATCGCGAAGCACCTAAGGAGGCTATTTAGTTTGTAAATTTTTATCTAAACTACAAGTGATTCCTAGTTTTGTTAATCTAATAGTATTGTACTTTGATAATATCGAAGCTATAGCACGAGTTAAGGAACCAAGGTTTCATCAAAAGTCTAAGCATGTATTACGATACTACCATCCGATTAGAGAGATTATCATTCGTGATGACATAAGGATAGAAAAGATCAATACTAACGATAACATAGCTGACCACTTAACTAAGCATTTGTCACGAATTTGAAACATGATTACTCGATCGTTGGGATTAAGGGACGTGGCTGGTTGGCTCTAGTGCAAGCAAGAGATTGTCATTGTAGGTGCCCAAGATCCAATCATGTTTGAATGAACTTGAATTAATGTATTATTACATTATTTATTTTAATAATAATAAAAAGTCATTTTATTAATTTTTGTGTTTTATGTTTGTAAATTCGGTAGAATTAGATAGAAGTCCTTATGATATGCATTTGTAATAGTGATTGATCAAAAGATGTGAGATAAACACCAAGACATATAAATGATATCATTAAACGTCCCAATTCATAGCATTGTCAAGAATGGACATTGACTATATGTGGATAAACTTGTGAGTGCTATGCTCATGCTATATGATAACGAGTAGGAGATCTCACACCTATTGACATGGTGATGCTAAAGTAAGCACTTAAGTGACTTATGTTAGAGAATATATCACTAGACTTGACTCGCCATGAGAATCCATTTGGTTTTAATGTATGGGAATCTCATATGAGATAGGTACAAATAGTCCTTAGACTTAAATTCATCACGGTTGTCTCGTTAGAGGACTTATACATCTTGACACTCATTTTGATAGACCCATTAAAAGGTTGCACATGGACGATTCATTAGGTACACCGAGAGTCTAATAGAGGTAGGTGTATGACTAAGATAAGATATGTCATTCCTTGTATACTAAAGGAGTTATCACATTGCACTTTAATAAATGCATGTTCAAGAAATCTATGACCATAATAGGAATACACTAATATAGCATAGTTGATTTACTCTACAGAGTTAAGACATTTGTAAATCGAAGAAAACTTATGTGATCATAATCGAACAAGACTTATAACCAAGTTTAAGATCACACTTGTGATAAGTTGACATAAGAATTGAATTTTATGGTAACCATGCTCATGAAAGGTAACAATGAATTAATTAATCCTCCTAGCAAATTAGGTAGTCATGATGTCTTGCTAGAGGCTAATCTTGACTTATGTATCAAGAAATAAGAAAATAGTCTTTTGTTCTTCATACATTGTCAACATAACTAAGAGCTTATTGAGTCACTCGTATAAGTATAAGTATTCATATTATAAATGAGAAGCAAAAATATTTAAAAAAGTTTCTAATTATGAAAGTTTTCTATTTTGGAAAAGGTTTCCAAAATGGAAAGTTTCCTTAAATTGGGAGTTTTCTAAAATGAAAAGTTTCCTTAATTAAGAGGTATCCTAAACTTGGAAAGTTTCCTATTTTAGAAATTAGTTTTCTAATGTGAAAGTTTCAAATTTGGAATTAAATATCCTAAAATAAAAATGAGTTTCCTAATTTAGGTTAAAGGGTATTTAAAAAAATTATTTTCTAATATGAACCCATCTAAAATAATCTAATATTATTTATTTGGATAGTCTAAATAAATTAATTGGGCTAAAATGATTTTGGCCCATTAGGTTTAATTAAAATCCTTAAGATATTTTGATGGGAGGATAAATATCAACCTTATTGGATAATGATGAATGTTTTAAAGATAATGATTAAAAATCTACATGTAAAATAGCTCATCATCCTTAGAGGATAAGGAAGTAACAACCTAGAGTCTTAAAAGGGACTTAAAGTGCATACTTCTCCTTGTCCTTAAAGGACAAGAAAACTCTCATATAAATAGATGGGAGAGAGAGAATTTTGGATATAACACAAGAAAGGGAACGAGAGAAAGTTTTGCCGGCCCAAAAATAATCACTAGGGTACACTACCAAGAGAAAAAAATAAAAGAAATAGTTTTCTCTAAAACCACTAGTAAGCCACACTCTTTCCTTCTCTTTTAAAGTTATTGCAAAATTGCCCGGGATTGATTTTCTAAAGGAAACACTACACGAATCGGAAAAAGGTGGAGCTAACACCTTATCGATTTTGAGTGCTTCTTTGTGGATACTTGTTCATTTTTTCTTTCAAGCCATGGATTTATAAGGCAAAAGTTTTGTTTGAAATCTAGGTTTTCTTTTATTTGAGTATTTGTTGGTAAGTAAAATTTTCATAATACTTCAAATGAATAATTTTGGGCTTAGAAAACCAAAAAGACTTTATAAAAGCATAAACATGTCTTATTTAGTTAATAAATCAAGTTTTGATTTGGGTGCTCGCTTGATACTAGCTTTACCAATTTAAAATTTTGATTTAGAAGTCCACAACTTGGTGGTGACTAGAACCTCATCAAAAACCATTTTTTAAAGTTAAAATCCACTTTGAAGACTCACTTTCAAACTAATTTATGATTTAGATTGTTAAAATTGCTACATTTTTTCTTTTTTCTTTTTCAACAAAAAAACTCATGACGGACTCACAAGTAGTTATCATACATTGTAAGGCTCACATCAAGTCTATCACATGTTTTTTTTTTTTTTTAGGTGTTGAAATACCCATGAAAAGTCTATTACAATCACTCTTGAACAAATGACAACACTAACTTGTTGGTGGTTTATAAGAAAATAAGTGTTCATTTGTTTTGCAAAGTTGTTTATGCAAGTTACTTTTTTTCTAACTTTATTTTTATTTTCCATATCTACCTATACAACGTTACACAAACACCTTTGATAATAAGACTATTCGTGTAGGACATTAAATATATACACATATAGACACATTAAAATTTTCCATAAATATTAATTTTATTATACACTTAATCAATTTTTTTTTTTTTTTGTATGGGTAAAAAATGCACAACAATTGGATTAGACTAAGGATGAGCCTCGCTCAACATAAGATTTTAGATCACATAAGAATGGACATGAGTATTGTAGCAGGGAGTAGTTTCTATGTCTTATCTTTATGATACATTGAAAACACCTGGTTTGAAGAGTTCGAAAGAGAATCCGTTAAAGAAAGCCCTAGTTGTTACTTCCTTTAGCCTTTGATAGAAAGTTAAAGTAGTTTATCCCAAAATAACTCGGTTTTCTTCAATTCAAATATGATTGTCTAAATATCAATAATGTGGCATGATTTTAACGGTCGAAGGTCATTCTCATTTTACTATAAATATCAAATTTATATAATTGTGAGGAAATTGCAACTTTTGATTTTTAACAAAACCTTTGAACTCTATCTCTCTTCTCTAAAAGCTCTTCGACTTATACACTAGATATCTCCAAAGTTCCATCTATTTGGATTTTTACCACCCATCTTTCTACTATTTAGACTTGTGCCTAGATATCACTATATACTCTTCCTTTAACACCTCTTACTACTTGTATCCATTCTACTTAATTGGTTGATTGTTATTTCTATAAATCGCACTACCTATATTGCATCTTGATCGGTCTACCATCTAATCATTTGATTAATTATTAAAAACATCCCTAACACAAACTTCAACTATAGCTAGTTGGAAAAACTAAAATAGATTTTGTAAGCAATTCATTAACTAAGCGCAAAACTTTTGCTAGTATTATTTTAAGGGTGAAATCACCTGTTGCTCTTTTACTATTGAGTTTTAGCCATTTGAATCAATCTACTTAATTATGGTGCAAACCAAATCCTATACTATTCAAAATTGAGACAAATCGGTTATTTTATCTAATTACGTTAATTCCGTATCATTATATGATTAGTCAACATTAGATGACTTTTTTTATGTTGAATAGTATAAACTTTAGTTTGTATCATAATATACGATGTTAAAATAACTAAAATTTGATAGTATAAAGATATGAAATGATTTTCACCCATCATTTTAAAGATCTTCTATAGAAAAACCGAAGAGAATCAGTTGGTGGGCTACCTTCAATAGTTTCTGCTGTTATTTATTATTAGGCCCATTAGTTGCAAGACTGAGTGTTTGGTAATTTGGCCATTTGGGTTGATGCCACCGCCAGGCATTCCGAGGATAGCACATCATAGCCCGGGCCACAGAGAGTCATTTTATTGTAATTATAAGTCAGCAGGCAAATGAAGAAGAAACAAAAAAGGACTGAAAATGGATAGGATGTTCGTTGGCGCGGGCATTCCTGTTAGAATCCGTGCCGCTGTAGCATTGGCTTTCGCATTAATCTTCCTCTCCCTCCTGGCTGACTGCGCCAACAACAACGATTCTCAGGTAATTTAATGAGCCAATGATCTCTCGATCCCTTGTTTATGGATATTAATTTAATTGGGTTTTCTTTAATTTTTATTTTTTTATTTGATTTGGTTTGGTTTTGCAGGTGAAATGCAGCAGAACCTGTGTTGCACAGAACTGTAATTGTAAGTACCCTTACTTCAAAAAGAAAAAGAAAAATTAAAAGTTTGCGTCCCTATTCATTTACAATAATACTAAAAATAATTGTCTTTCCTTTGGTTTTCTAAACAAAAAGCTGTTGGAATTAGATACGGGAAGTACTGTGGAGTAGGATGGAGTGGGTGTCCTGGAGAGAAACCGTGTGATGATCTTGATGCCTGTTGTAAGATTCACGATGAGTGCGTTGAGAAAAAAGGTATCTTCAAATTTACTTCTCTTTCTTTCTTTTTTCTTTTATAATATCTTTTTAATTTGTTGTTTACATTTTGTAAAACCTTGAATTCATTGGATGTTTTCCCTTCTTTTTTTTTCGATCCATTTTCATAAGATGATTGTTATATCCATCTGATTAGAGAAAAGTGAATCAAAATTTGGATGTGATTCATTTTTGCACCCACTCACTCTCCCCATTTTTGTTTTCTGTTGCGTCCTCATTTTAGTGGGATTCAGAGAATTTCAAATGATCTCTTAACTAGAAAAAGGAGAATTGATTTACCACGAAACAGAAAATGAGAGGGGGCAAGAGGGTGAAGAACAACTTGCGACTTCCATGTTGTCTAATTTTGATTTTATGGTAACCAGCTAAAGCTGAGCCACCAACGTATAAAGAGGGATTCCTTTAGTGTGTTGCTGAAAGAGATTACATTACTCTTGGAGGCTTAGTTTGGTTTGGCAACTGCATTTTCTGTCTGCCTACATCATTCTACATCTGAATCCCAGAGAAGCTAATAGAAAAACAAATTCTTGTTAATGCATTGGGGGATATGGGGACCTGCTCCAGACCCGATCGTGAGGGATTCAGTTCTGGAGCTCAAAAACTAGCCCAAAGATACTTCACCATAAGAACGGAAAAGAAAAGGAAATAGACTACATGATCTGACCCCTTCTGCACAGAAGCTCAGACATGATTTCCTATTGGTAGTGTGAAATCAATAAAAATGAAGCAATGTGCTGACGCAATGTATTGAAATAGTTTATCAGAGCAGAACAATGCAGGCTTTATTTTTGCCTCCACTTAGTCGCTGTTTCTTTTTTCTTTTTTCTTTTTCTCTTTAATAATGTTTTCCAATAATGAATTATCGCACTCTAATAGTTCTGTTATTTTTTTAGTTTAGCTTACAATTGTTGTTCTTTCAGGTTTGATTAATGTCAAATGCCACAAGAAGTTCAAAAGCTGCATAAAGAAAGTCCAGGAATCTGGAAAGGTTGGATTTTCTCGGGATTGCCCTTATGAAGCAGCTGTGCCTACTATGGTGCAGGGAATGGATATGGCCATTTTACTTAGCCAATTAGGCAGCTCAAAGATTGAAGGCAGCTTAAAGATTGAACTATAAAATTTTCAAATGTTGAACACAGCAATACCAGCATTGTATTCTTATTCTTTCCTTTTTCCTTTCAACCAAATCAAGCCTTTTTAAGACCTGTAGAATATGAAGTTTCCTTATCTGAATCCTGATCGTTAGCCAGCTCTCTGGTTCTCCATCCTTCAATTTTCCTAGCATGCCTCATTTTAGACATTATCATCTTAGGCTTTTGTCATCTCCAGCAACTAGTCCCTTGATGAGATTGCAGGATCATCAAGGGGAACCCATATGGGCAGAATGGAAGGTGTATATATATATATATATATACACACTATTGAGACACTTGTATACAAGTAATGTGTGTTAGCAGGAGTATAAGACTTGCCAGGATACGTCCGATTGTATGTTAAATTTCTGTTCTGAAGTTCGCTCCTTGTTTTTTGGCACAGTTTATGCTGCATTTTATAACATGGGCAAGTATAAGCCTTGTTATGTAATTATGATAACGATTTTTCTTATAAAATTTAAGATCATCATGTTAAAAATTTGTGAGAGATGACAATTCGTGGCATAATTTCGCTGTGGCCGGGAGTGGATATAATTATTTAAGAAGAATCCTTATAATGAAATATTTTTCAATCACTTTTTAAAATAAATTAGTATCAAAATACCTTTAACTTTGAATTAAACATTTTTTTTTCTTTATCAAATTAGTTCAAATTTGATAGCACTGAAACTAATTATGGCTAATTAGCTTTACGTTAATGTTAGCGACTAGATATTACAATCTATTGACTCAGAGTAGGTTTTTTGTCCATCTTCTTTCTATTTGGAATGTCTAAATGCGTTACCCAGCTCGTTTCTATATCTGAATCAGTCAACTGGAATCGGTGAAAGGACCCCTTTTTTTTTTTTTTTTCATATAATAGGTATCCATCAAGTATTCAATCTGATTCAATTGTTTTTTAAATCAATTTTATAAAACAAACTGCATCTTCATATATGAAATAAAAAATTATAAAATAAAATCTGAACTTCAAATCCATTTTCTATGAATCATAACATAAAAATTCACATATTATATTGAAAAATAAAATTACAATTCTAAAAAAAAAAAAAAAGAAATGAGTTGAAAAAAACAACAAATCAACAATGGGTTAGGTGACGATATAGGTGAGGGGTTAACCTGACTTTGGTCAATCGGAATCAAATTTTATCCCACTCTAGTTTGCCTCTAGTAAGTCTTTTTTATTTTATTTTTTTTTTTGTAAAAAAAAAAAAAAAAACCGATTAAATAGAATCATATGCCACCGGATACCTCATGATTTGGGTGAAATTACCATCTCTATTATCGCCTATTTCTTACCTAATTGATTAATTTAAATCTTTGGACTCAGATTCATTGGAATTTATTATGCTTGTTTTGGCTTTTAAAAAGTAATTAGCAATTAATGACCCATAATTTGTAAATCTAAAAGTCTATTGGAGGTTGGATGAAGTCATACTGGAATTGTTGTTATACCCAACAATAATTAAAGGGTTTGGCCCATATATATATTTTTTATTTTTTGAGTTATTTTAATTGAGATCATATATATATATATATATATATATATATATATATATATTGACTGCATCTACATTTCGTTTGGTTTTGTTTTTATCTCTTTGTTATAGTATCGTTAGTTATGAGCTGACATAGATTGCCGTAACGCATTCATTTTTAAAAGCATGACATACATCACACATGAGATCACAATAAAAGGATCCCATCGAAAGAATTCAAAAAATATGAGATTTAATTAAAATAATTAAAATTTTACTGGAACCAAATTATTGTTTTTTTTTATATATATAATTTTCATGTTTTCTTTAATCTCATAATAAATGCATGAAAAGTCTCATATTTTAGATAACATCACAATAAACTCTAAAATGTTTTGTTTTAAATATTACTGTAGTAAGTTAAAAATAATACAATAATAAAAAAAATACATAAAATAAGGAAAAAAAAAACTTAACATGTTGTTATCAAAACAAAAATATGGTGCTATGTAATATCTATCAATCACATACTCTTGTTTAATGGATCTAATCTTCCATAAAAGATAATTTTTTTAAATATATATATATATATATATATATATATATATATATATATATATATATATTTCACCAATTCAAAGTGAAAAATGAGTTTGCTCTATAAAGAAAAACTTGGGATTGCAACACGATTTTTTTTTTTTTGATATAGAAAATTAACTACTAGTCGGTATTACTACTCGTTTTTATTTTAATATTCATGAACATATTTATATTTTTTTTAATTGTATGTTAGGTTTATTTTGTATGTATTTTATTATTTTTAAATTATTATAGTATTTAAAAAAAATATTCTCTCGGGCTCTTATTGTGATGGGATCTCACATATGACATGATTAGTAGCATTTAAGATGATGTTTTAAAAACGTAATAACATGATTTTTTTTAAAAAAAAAAACTAATCTCTATACTTTTTGAATTATTTTGATCGATGTCTCATATTTTTTGAATTGTTTTGATAGTCTCTCTATTAGGATTTTACGTATGACACTTGTCATATTTTTTGAATTGGACATACCACATCGACTCATAACTAACAACGTTATAACAAAGGTATGGAAACAAAATAAAATGAAGAGTAGAAGGACTTAAACAACATAAAAATATATATATATAAGATCTCAAAAAAAATAATTCAAAAAATAGAGAGACAATAAACGGACAAAACCAAATAAATTAATAAACAAAAGTCCTTAGATGATTGTAATTCTATCAATACAAGTAGTAAAGTAAGATAAATCCAAACCCAATTCAGCAATTAGGAAGCCTGATTGACAATAGAGTGTCGCTAAATAATTTTAATGATATTTAGCTATTGGAATATGGTTTAGCAAAACAAATTCACGAAGTTTTATAAGTTGTCAACCAACCCGTGGGCTAACTTTGAGTTAGAATTCGTATCTCTTTATTGCGGGGAGAATATGCTTATTATTTGTGGTTTTCAAGTTTAAAATGTGATCTTTTCAATTTGTTCAATCATGCATGCATTGAACTACATATAAAAAGTTATGATTGTTTTAGTAATGAAGCAAATGATCAATTTACGTTTTTTTTAGATGTTTGTTTCCATTCTTAATAAGTAAAAGATGAGGATTAGCTATTATGAGTCTATTTTTATATCAAAGTCATTTATTAGGCATAGATAATATCAATTTTACTTATTTTCTAGACTTAGGGAATTGTTGCAATTATACATTGATAGTTTAGAGATGCATTATGGATCTTATGTCGAAATTCATAATATAAAAAAAATTGAGTTTAGCGATGGCATATTTCGTCGCTAAACGCTCCGATTCCATCGCTATTTATGAATAGCGATGGACCATATTCTGTCACTATTTTGCTGGTCGCTAATTTTTTACGACGGAATACTCGATCTGTTACTAAATTTAGCAACAAAAAATCCATCTCTAATCTTGTCGTAGGATCGTTCGTTTTTTGATAGCTAATCTGTCACTATTCATGTTGCTAATTTTGAAAATAAATCCATCGTTATTACGTCGCTATTTCAAAAAATGAAATTGTCACCAATCCAGTCATTATTTTGTTGCTAATTTCGAAAATAATTTTTTCGTAATTCTTTCGCATTTGTTGACATTTTTCGAAATTAAATTATTAATATGACATTTAATAATTAATATTTAATAATAAACAATCATAAGAAATCATGTATATATGAAAAATAAAATAATATTAACAAAATCATGATAGAATACATTTCATAAAAAACCAACAAAACAAACAAAGTGATTGAATATTATATTACTCATCCTGCTCGTCGAATCCCATATGCTCATCCTCATACTTGTGTGGAGGGCTTGATTGGAGGCTGAACTAGAGGTTGAGTGGAATGACCAATAGATTGTTAAATGATCAATGGATCTATAAACAAGCTGGATGTTCGTGCCAGTTGCATCAATAAGGATGTCATCGAATTGTATTGAGACTTCATGCTACAAATAGTCCGATTTTGCTGCGAAATCTAGCTTTTAAGCTCGATCACCTCTTCCTTTGTAGCCTTGTAGTCTATCCGAAGCTTTTTGCTAGTCGGATCGATCATTTATTGTGATGTCGAAAAGGAGGAGGCTGCTACCACCTTACTCGAAACACATAATGCACCGATTGTGTGCCTATATCATAAAATCTTTTCTTCTTCTCCCCGATGCTTTGTAGGTATATGGCATTACGGTCTACTTCGGCTTCAAGATTTACGCCTCCATCCGAGCCTCAACTTCCTCATTGATGAGTCGCTCCATATGGTCTGCGTAATCAAAATAGTAATATCATCGTTACAAAATTAAAATAAATTTGAGAATAAATTTTCATATTTAATATTTGAAATTGAAAAATACTAACCTTTTTCTACTCGGGAGTGCATATCGATGAATGAATCATCATGTTTCTTATGAGTCCTCCGAAATAACTCAAAACTCGTTGGTCGACATCCCAATTCTATTGCCTAAAAAAAATCCATTACAAAGAATATGACAAGTCATAAATTGAAATGTTCTAAAATAAGTAAATAATAATAAAAAGTGTAATTTACCAAGCGACATGCATGCTCTCGTGAAGATATTGAGCACCCGTATGTCCGGAAGGACCCAAACCGGGACCATCGATCTTTGACAATCGATTCCGTGATGTTTGTTACGAACGAGCCATGCGATCACGTTTCTTGAAATCAACTAGCCACATATCCCATGCCTCTTGACTCATATATGGGGGTGACTCATCCATCAAATTGATCTTGTATATGAAGTTAGTATAGCGTTTCCTAGCGACACGTTCCCATGCCCCTCTAACAAACGCATCAATGTCCACATCCCATTCAAAAAATTTCTACACAAGCAAAAAAAAAATTATATAATTTATTTGATGAGAAAAATTTTATTTTAATTATTTAGAAAATTATAAATACATTACCTTAA